TATGACGTTAGACACGTGTAACAGAGGCATACAAATTTGTGACGCTACACATGTGCAACATAATCACACAAATATTGGACGCTACACGTAAGATACGTGTAACAGAATCTTACGAATGTATCACTACACACGTATCACACAATCAGATAAATATATGACATGACATTGCATATTTATAACATATTTATACAAATGTATGAAGCTATACATGTGTAACATAAACATGCAAATGTATCACGCTAAACGTATAACACTTTTAGCGCCACACAGTATCATACACATTTCATTTTCTTTAGTGTGTGTTACACTTTTTTGTTACTGTTCTCAATTGTCTACTTTAGCAATACTTAAAAACATTGATCTCGCTTTATCTCGCAAAATTCCTAAATTTCATAACGAGACGCAAACTGGTACGAGATTTATATTATATTTTGACCTTATATGTACATGTAATTTAAGTAACATATCATAAATGTATGCGTAAAACATGATGCTTATTGCATATATCTCCAGTTAAATAACGCAAAAAAGTTTTTAAATAAAACATTAACGATTTATTGTTTCTTTTTTTTTCTTGTGTTAGTCAAGCAATAAAATAATGAACTAATATTTTTCGTTATTTACGTTAAATTTATAAATGTTTTATTTATTCCTGATTGTTAAAAATGTAAATTTGCAACACAAAATGTATCGGCCTGGAAGAAGTCAGATAATCTTTCCTTAATATGACACATCCGTATTGTTAGGTTTCAGAGCGATGTTTGAGAAGTACCACTGTTTTCTCAATGGTCCCAGACATTCCCTCGACATATTAAAAGAGTTTTAATGATAAACCGGTAATTAGTCGAATACACTGTAAGCAACTGTACATTTCACGACACAATAACTTTAATTACTCACTATTTTTGGTGGAAAATAGAAGCGCGAGTCTCGATCATTTCGAAGCATATAATGCATTATATAAAATAGGACAGTTGTGTTGCTAGTTTACGCTGGTAATTTGAAGTATTTCACTGCCGTTGCGTCTACATCAAAAGTTATACGGTGATGATTATTGATAATTTTGACATCATGGGGACTAAATTTGATGCATTGTTGTAAAGAGTTGGCATAAATTTGGGACTTGGGAACAGTTTTTTATAGGCCACAAGTATCAGCATGAACACCCCCACCCCACAAGAATCGAGTAGGTATGATAGGTAAAAAAAAATTTATTTTTGACATTTTTGACCTGTATTAAATGTCCTGATATATAATACCCTATTTTCTTTTATTATGAATAAATCCATTTACTTCCGTTATAAATAGATATGTACTACGTCTTCGTGAATTTCAAGAAGCCTTTTGACAGGGTATGGCATGCAGCCTCGTGGGAGACCATGAGACTGTACAACGTCAATGCTATCCTCTTTACAAAAATAAAACACCTGTATTACAAGGCTACCAGTGCAGGATACTTCAATGGCAGCATATGCGACTGGTTCAGAACGACAGTCGAAGTCAGACAAGGTTGTTTGTTTTCTCCCACATTATTCCATATCTTTCTGGAGAGAATCAGGCTGACGCGCTTCAAAAGCATGAAGGGACAATCAGCATCGGAGGCAGAACATTCACCAACCAACGTTGTGCTGACGACATTGATGGACTATCAAGAAATTATCAAGAACAATCAAGCTTAGAAAGAGAGCCTCAACAAAACCTCTGCAACCTGCGGCATGGAAATCAAGGCAGAGAAGACTAGCATGATGACCAACAACACCATGTGAATCAGCACTGACATCAGGGTCCAAGGTGCGAACTAGAAACAGTCCACAGCCAAGTATTTGGGGCAATTGTAACAGATGAAGGCAAATGATCAGACAAGCCATTGGGCCTCATGAAGGCCTCCTGACCACAGTGAAACAAAAACAAAAACTGCATTGGTATGGGCATGTCTCACGATCATCAGGACTTGCCAAGACAATCCTGCAAGGCACTATATAAGGAAGAAGAATGAGCGACAGAAATAGGTGGGAAGACAACATTTGGGAGTGGACAGACTTGACATCGAGTGATTTACTGAGCACGACGGAAAATCGAAAGGAATGTAGGAAGTTGGTTGTTCGGTCTCATGCGGTGCCCCAACGGACTACCAGACTACGGGACTGATGATGATGATGATGATGATGATGATGATGATGATGATGATGATGATGATGATGATAATGATGATGATGATGGTGGTGGTGGTGGTGATGATGATGATGATAATGATAAATAAATAAATATTATTATCACACTGATGTTATCCTGATTGAATGGGCGCCCGTACATAGAGGCGAGGCGGGGGGAGGGAGATAATATTAATATTGTAGCACTTCTAAACATGTTTTGTGATATATCCATAAAACTTAATAGCTGACCACTTCATGTTCATCCTCCCTAAAAAAAAATACTGCTAAATCATGTTGACAGCCGCAGAAAAACCGGAACATTACGAGACGCGAAATGATCCGGATTTTCTGATGCTGCAACAAGATCTGATTTATCAGTGAAGATCTAAGCGAATTACTATGATATAATATTTTTGTTATATGCCAAACAATTTTCAAATAAATTGATACATTCTCAAAATGTCACTGAAAGAAAGAATTTGCTGAACATTTCAACCTTTTTTTTCATGTTCCGCAGTCCCTTTCTGGCTCACAGACCTGGTAGGTACATTAGAAATGTATCCTCGTATTTTCTGATACTTTAGGAATGTATCCTCGTATTTTCTGATTTTAAAGTTGGTTTTAATGTGTTTTTTTTCTCTGTCCCTCTTTGTTGTTTGTTTCGGTATTACAAATTATAAATAAAAAGAACTTGGGGAAAAATTGAATTGAGAAATTTTCTTTGCTTTAGACTGTTCATAAATGGTTTTAGTTACTTGGGCAGTCCAAAATTAAGTTGCTTAGTTGTTGGGCAGTCAAAAATTGTTGCTAAGTTGTTGGGCAGTCCAAAATTAAGTTGCTAAGTTGTTGTTAGTGCGTGCGTGTGTGGTATTTAGTTTTATTTTCGTGTTTATGTTGTTTTCTTTTTCATTATTGTTCTTTTTTTTTTTGTTATTATTTTTGTATTGTTTGAGTGCTATTGTCTTCGAAAAAGCACCTTGTTATGAAAGCCGGAATGGAATTATTCCCAACGGTAACCTCTTATTGCTGACGGGAAGGAAAACATTATTTGTAAGTTTTTGCATTATCTGAAATTTATACTTGATTGTAAATCGTATTGAAAAGTTTTTTTTGTTCGCGCAGATGTGATGTAAATATGCTTAGTTGGAGGTGGTTCAAGTTTAAGACTACTTTTGTATAATTTAATTTTATTGATCATTTATGTTGTTACTTGCATGGGTTTTTCGCAGTGTAGTCATCCTACTCGTTCAGATTTCTTGATCGACTGCATCCGGTTAATTGGTCGTCGGCTGTCTTTTTAGCGATCGTTGACCCCTCTTATACCTCTGGTTAATACGTGTCGTCATCCGCATGTTTGCTCTCGTTATCAAAGCAAGTTTTATTGTTTCTATTACTAGACATGCTTAGTCACGGCCCAGACAAGTACTTATCATTCTAGGGCAATTTACAGGTATAGACACGTGTACATTTCTTCTTCCCTGTTCAAGTATGCGCGTCTAATAGTTCCATATAGCGGCACACAAATGAGGTATAGGGAGATGATGTGATTATGATTTTTAACGTATCTTTAACAATTTTTCAGTATTATAGCTACGATGACTGCACTGTCGCAGTTTATAGTGATATCAATCAACGGGGCATCATGCCGCAGACATGTATCATGATGTCCAACCCAGTCACATTATCCTGACACCAGGCTGACCAGTCCTAACAGTAACCTCTTATTGCTGAGCGTCAAGCAAGGCAACTGTTAGTATCATTTTTTGTAAGTAACCCACGACCCCCCGCATCCGATACGGACGCTCTAGCCACTAGGCAACGGAGCGGTTGAAATGAGGTATAGAACATTGTCCTATTGTCAAGTGTATATAAGTAACAATTCTACAGTTTGGTGAAATTGCAACAATTTTTTAAATTTACAAGTAAATAGATATCATAAGTCTCCGTCCCGTTACATGAGTGTTGCTTTTTGCTTGCTGTTTTTATTGCCAATATTATGCATCGGTGGTGGTAGTTGTGTTTTGTTGTGGTGTCAAATATGGAGCATCTGCTGGGTTAATAATCTTGCCCTTACCTTGTTGTTGTTGTTTTAATTGATTTAATGTACAAGTTGTAATATTTGTTCGCATGCATTACATTTTGGTGATGGTTTGTGATTGTATCGAACTATATCGATTTATATTATCGAATAATTATCTACTTGATTCTCATTATTATCCTTATCAGTCATACATGTATTAAACAACAATACATAAAGGACACTTATCTCCTCTCTCGCGAAATATTTAAGGAAATTGAATACTGCACCTATTTGTAACTTATTTTCATTTGGCCAATGAGAATGTAATATTACATTTAGCGCTTTGAACTTGCACATCAAGAGAGCGCCATCATGACCAGGTCGAACGGTAGCGTGGGAAAATGGTCTGGCATCTCTTAAAGGTATGACAGTAAACCGGATTTTGGATAGGTATCATTTTTTTTTTTTTACGCTACGCGAAGTATAGCTTAAAATATCAGCGTTGATTCTTAAATAGGTCGCTCGAGCAAGGATTGATGTGTGCTCCCTTATAATATTAAATCATGCATGCAAAAGAGAAATGTGCGTGATTTGGATTTTTAAACGTAGCTTTAAAATAATTTCAGTCATTTCGCTACGATGTCTACTGCAAGTGTGGTAGTTTATAGTGATGTCTAGCACTGGGGCATCATGCCGCAGACACGTAATATGATGTCCCACCCAGTCACATTATCCTGACACCAGGCCGACCAGTCCTAGTACTAGCCTCTTATGGCCGAGTTCCAAGCGAGGCAGCTGTTTGTACCATTACTGTAAGCCTTTGGTAGGACTCGACCGGGATGGAACCTGCGATCTCCCGCATCTGAGGCGGACGCTGTAACCACTAGGCCACTGGAGTGATACAAGCAAGAGAAATAAATTGTAAGCAACGATACGAACCCCTGTGTGTTCAAGTCTTAATATTTGTTCACGTGCACCTATTTTTAGAACCCATTTATGACTTCAAGAGTTGGCGACGGAATAGAAACTGTAGCCGAGACAGTCGAAATCGACATAAGTACATGTATAGTCATGGGAAGAAAGTGGAGGAGGAGGAGAAGGAATTTGTAGATGTCGGGGAGAAAAAGAAGAAGGAATTACGAGAAATAGGAGAGATAAAGGACACAACAGATAAGACGAAATACAAGGATAGGTGGAAATTAATCTCACTCTACTAATCAAGTGATGCAAAGGGCTTATTAAAGGGTCAGCGGAAGGAGTGTAATTGGAAATTTGAATCATTTGATTATTGAATTCTTATTATATTTTTATTTATTCAATTTCAACCCTTTTTGTTATATTTAACCATCTAACCGTCGGCGTTGCTGACTGGAGGCTCTATCTGTCACTAAATTTAACTTCCAACAAAATAGAGCCCGGGTGGGACTTCTATGATTGTTTAAATAAAATATTGGGAACAATTCAACCCAACCATATAGTTCGTCAGATTATGTATGTCTCTATGTAAGTATGTCTGTCTGTCTGCATGCAAGCAAGCGTGTATGTATGCATGTATTTTGTTTAACGGCACCTCTGGAAAGCACTGGCTACATAAGCGCTGAGGAAAAGTAAGATTCTAAGACAATAATGGTTAAAAATTGCTAAAGTGATCAGGAAGATAAATACTTCCTTATTAGAAAATATTTTTTCTATTACAAGATAAAAATATCCAGTGGTAAAGATATGAAAATGCTGTAGAAGATGTGCAAAATAAAAGGTTGACAAAGTAAAGTTGTTAAAAGCTAAAGAAAGATAGAAAAATAAAATGAAGTGGAAGAAAACTTTATCGAGTCGATAAGTTCATTTTAGTAATAGTATAAAGATATACTCCAATATATAATTATTTTTCTTCGTCTGCATACGGATTTATTCCTTCGGAACTGCATGTTTCGATTTGTTTGGCATGGACCATAGATGGCACGAGGAACCTTTTTCTGAAGAGAATCTGTATAAAATAATTAAGAATTCAAAATATTTCCATAATTCCTGTACAAAGTTATTGTCTGTGTGTATGTATGTGTGTTTGTGTGTGTATGTGAGAGAGAGAGAGAGAGAGAGAGAGAGAGAGAGAGAGAGAGAGAGAGAGAGAGAGAGAGAGAGAGAGAGAGAGGTGGTGGTGGTGGTGGTAGTATATTCGATACGTACGACACGCATATCACTACTGCTGGAAATATCACAGTACTAATTCAGTTCCCATAGTAAACCCATTCAAACACCATGATATTAAAAATTCAATAACTTAACATTTCTGAGCGCCCATGATCAAACTTTATTTATCAGTATAGAGGAAACCTGGATGATAGCTTCTGTGTAGACGAAAGGCTACGAGCCGCGGCAATTTCTGGACCTGCATGTGTTTGAAAAATGTGCTTTCAATTCCGCACCAAAGAGTCAGGTGCTAATTTTTGTAAAAAGTGTTCAAAATTCAAGACTTTTTAAGGCCTGGAGTTCCATCAATAAAACAAAGTCTCTATTTTACCCACTTACAACTAGAATAAGCTCTCAGAAGATTCTTTTTCCTGAACATAACTTACATTATTGCCCAATCCTGGCCAGCCAAATTCGAATATACTCTTTTAATGTTCAGCCATTTCCAGGCTGGTTCCAATTTTTCCATACCATTAGTGTGTCCTGGAGGTTAGCATGGGCAATAAGTAGGTTTTAGAGTGAAAATTAGATTACAAAAACAGATACTATAGAACACCACCTTGGTTGCTTCAATAAAGGGACGAATTTTCTCTAATTTTCTTATCTCCAATTGTGTTATTCATTCAGCCATTCTAACAAGAAAGATTTATATAACTGTTTCGCATTACGCCATGTTTAATATAAAGTTCGTTCCACCTGCTCGACCAATCAGAATGCATAGTTAGCATATGCTACCTTTTCTAATAGTCATAATTCATTTGCAACATACGCTACATAACCCAACTGACCAATCGTAATTCATATGTACAATTTGCTGTTTAACCTACTCGTCCAGTTTGTAATTCATATATAGGACAATCTACCCGATCTACAAAAACCAATCATAATTCGTAAGTAGGATATGGTACCCACCTACTTCACCAATCATGCTTCGTAATGTAAAGGATAGTAACCCATTTACTCGACCAATCGTAATTCGCGTACAAACCCACTTGCTCGATCAATCACACTTCATACGTAGGATATGCTATGCCTCCTACTCGTCCAGTTATAAATTCGTATGTGGGATATGCTATGCCTCCTACTCGTCCAGTTATAAATTCGTATGTGGGATATGCTATGCCTCCTACTCGTCCAGTTATAAATTCGTATGTGGGATATGCTATGCCTCCTACTCGTCCAGTTATAAATTCGTATGTGGGATATGCTATGCCTCCTACTCGTCCAGTTATAAATTCGTATGTGGGATATGCTATGCCTCCTACTCGTCCAGTTATAAATTCGTATGTGGAATATGCTACTCTACCCCGTCAACCAGTTGCAAATTAAGAAATAGGACATGCTACCCACACTTTACCAGCAACCCTTAGTTTGAACTTCGGTTTTGAAGCTTTGTGTTCCTGTTTCCAATAGATACTATTACTACTACCACTACTACTACTACTACTATTGCTACTTCTGTTGCTACTACCAATAGTTTAAGGATTTTACGCTTTCCAGTTCACAAACAGATTTAAAGACTTTGAATAAAGCTTGTTTACATATTATCTATGACTAAGCATATTACGGAATGTTTTTCATTTTGACCAATGGACGCAGCCGAATTCACCTAAGAACAAGGAGTGTATTTAATTTTGTATCCATATTTTTTTTAACCTTACAAATGCACACAAATAACTAGTAGCTCTATGCTTCCAAAGTGCAAGGGGATCAATTAAATGTTGAATGTTTAGGACATACTTTATGACCCTGTTTTTATAAGATAGCATAATAACATCTTTGTTTGGCCTGTGACATACGGGGCATATACAATTTAAAAAATGCACAAAGACATTCGATTTTTCTCGAAGTGATCTAGTAACTGGCATTCCTTAATTCTGACCCCGGGTCGCAAATTGAGTTACCACGTAGAATGCGTATGAAAGATCAAAAGAGAATTGTTCTATTAATATTTTAACCTCTAAATGTACACAAAGTAAATTGAATTTTTATGTTTAAAATGAGGAGTACTTTGGGACCCTTTTAACTTTAGGACATTTGTAATAAGTAGGTTCGGAACGTTACTGTCAACATTTATTCATTCATTTTTGTGATGGTACCGTGTGTGTGTGTTTTTGTGTACATGCACCTCAACATACAAAATAAGCTTCATTTAAAACACTTATATAGCCCTCATAATTGGTATTAATACAAATAGAGTACCAAAACCTATTTAAACAAATTAATAACGGTTATTTTGTCATACGTATGCTTTAGGAGGGGTTTGTTATGATCTTTTGAAGGCATGACAAAGCTGGTTTGTATGTACATTCTATCACGTAAAAAGGTACCTACGTAATCGCTTAAAAGTCGAGTCAAACTGCAAACAACGAAGATCCAGATCTGCATTATACGCCTGCAGGTCTGGTTTTGAGCAGTTTGCAGTTGGACGGGGATTATAAACGAATACAATGACATTACACGTACTAGTATGGTTCTAATATTTTGACCTTTGATAAATATAAGAATATCAACAAGATGGGTAAATAAGTTATTATATATAAAAGCCGCTATTATCTGACCTTATCTACACTGTTATTTTAAAGCAAGCACATCATTATATATTGTAGGTAATTTATGCTATTATTTACATTCCGTACTGGAAATGGAAGTGTGGTGCCTGTTGGCCGATCAGTCTAATGTGCCTGCCATTATAAATCACTGACATCTCATCTCTGATTTGAGTCGCGCACAAGGCCAACATGGGTATGTGAGAAAGCTTGACAGTAGCTTCCCGTGGGTCATTGGTTTTTCCCGGGTTATTGCAAATATACTGGCCTTAACGTAAAGAATATTATGTGCTGAAAAATGATGTTAAACCTAAACCAACCAACCATTTTAAGAGACCGAACGTGTTTTTCAACAGGCGATGCAATTTTGTTAAAGACTGTCTGAAGGTAGTATTATATGAAATAGGTCCACTCCGTATGGTTTTTGGTTACCGTTATCTAGAAGGTGATCGACCATGTTGTTATTGCCTGGTTGGAGTAAACAATACAATAACAAAACAAAAATTATAAAAAATATGAAAGAAATTACTGGATGGAATGACAGAGGTCTGAGCAGAGATATATAATAGAACAACACAAGCCATCGCATGTTCAATATAACAATTTGGTCAGTTACATAAACAAAATTTAATTGAACATGACATATGAATGATTTACTTTCTATTAGAAATAAAGCTACAAAGTTAATGTAAAATTAAGGAACTTCGGAGATTCCCTATATGACGTCACAATTAAGCGTTGGCAAAGATCTGGTTGGCAGAACCACCTTGGCGACGAAGGAAGATATCAACTTAGGTCATTGAATAGGCAATGCTAATTGTATACCTTGTACAAATGCTGGGTATATATATATATATATATATATATATATATATATATATATATATATATATATATATATATATATATATATATATATATATATATATATATATATATATATATATATATATTAAAAATAACATGGCCTTTACATTTTGGGTATCAAGCAATTTGATATACCATTGGTATACGATTGACATATGATAATTATGATCCGTCCATGTGTAATAAGACGCATATATAAACATTGCAACTGCATGCTGCTAATTCAAGCCTATAAATTAATGATGTATTTCCACTCATTATTCATTAGCATCAATTATCCCCGTTTTCTAAATGA